TTCTGCACTCTTTGATTTACACCATGTCAAAACAGCAGTTTTTTAAATGTCCCTTTTAAATGTTCTTTGAATTTGAAGAACAAAAAAAGAAGTGTGAAGGGGCAAGGTCAGTGATGTAGGGTGGATGGGGTTAAGTTTCCCAACAAAATTCTCATAGAACAGCCCTTGCTACCCTGGAAGAATGAGCAGGTGTATTGTCGGGACGGGAAAAAATTCCTTGACACAACTTTCCAGGCTTTTTTATTACCAGTACAGTTTTCAACTTTCTGGTGGACACCCTGACACTATGGCCCTTAGTCACTCTTTAGGCCTGGAAATGAAGTCACCCCATTGTTGAATTTTCAACCAAACAATAGACAGGTATACCAGGGGAACAACAAGACCAGTGAGATGTCATGCCTTAGAATAATCAACCAGTTAAATTCAAGCTCACCAGGCACTCCTCAGAAACTCTACGCAGGGTTGCTACGGGTCAGAATAAACTTGACAGCACTTAACAACAACGAGATCATAAGGGCAGCATTTTCCCAAAGACAAAGTTCAGAAGAGTTAGGAAAGAAACAGAAATGGGAAAATACAGGGAGCAGGATGTTGGTTAAGTGATGTTACATTGAGGGGATTGCAATCCATGAGATGAAACACAATGTGTATGAAATTTTGTTGAAAGTAAACCTGATGATCTTTTCTACAAATCTTCACCCAATTCACAATCAAAAGTTTAAAAAATTGCCTCCTGAATCTATCCACTTCCTGGCTGCTGTAGTGTTTTACCCATGACACCACCTTCTCCAGCCTATGTGATTAAATGGTGTTCCTACTTGATCCTTTTCAGCTGCTCTCAAGCCCACAAAGTGAATTTCTTATAATATAAGGCAGTTCATATACTCCATCTGCTCAAACCTCTCCAGAAGCTTCTAATTAACTTGAAGTAAAAAAGCAGAATGTTTACCATAACACACGATGTCCTATGACAGCCCTGATCAGCTTTTATACCACTTTCCTGCTTGTTCTCTCTATTGTAACCATTGTTTTGAGGGCATGTGGGTACACCCTGTTGTTGTTGTTAAGTACCATCGAGTGGGTTCCAACTCATAGCAACCCTGCATAGGGTTTTCAAGGAGTGTCTGATGGGTTTGAACAAGTGACCTTGCAATTAGTAGTCCAATGCTTACCATACAGCACCACACCAGGACTCCCTGCTTCAATATAATTGCACTTGTCTTTCCTTTCGCCTGGACGGCAATTCTTTTTTTTTTTTTTAACCTCACATTTTATCTGAAATAGCCTGACTTCCTTAGGTAGCTTTTTGAAAAGTTTCATATTCTCTCCCCAGACACTTCCTACCTCCTTCTTTGCTTTATTACTTTTAACAGTATTTTTCATTATCTGGTAAACTATATGGGAATCATGGTGTGGCAAACTATATAGACGTATTCCAATATATGTACATGATGAACTTCAAAAACTTTGTGAAAAAAATCCATTAACTCTTAATTCCATTTGCCAGGAATTTTTTGAAGACCCTTCCTATTTATACAGGAATAGATTATCTAATAAGTAAGGTAGGGATGAGCTGACTGGTGCTTTCTTACTAAACTGTAGTTAACATTATCACCATGTCTTATCTAGAAAAAGTAAATAAACACCCGAAAAGATTTTGCCATAGATTTTGTCCTCCCCTCTTTGAATCATTAACCAAAGATGCCTTAGACGTACGTGTTTCAAGCCATTTGTCTTTTCAAAAACACTCTTGCAGTTACATTGATAAAGCATTTTATAAAGTTTCTCACATTTTTCACTGTGTTCTTGTAATATCTATATGGTAGCGTAATGGTTACGAGTCAGGCTGCTAACCTCAAGGTCAGCAGTTCGAAACTACCAACCATTCCACAGGAGAATGATGAGGTTTTCTGTTCCCATAAAGATTTACAGTCTCAGAAACCCTATGCAGGGTTTCTATGAGTTAGAACTGACTCCACAGCACACCAGCACCACCATAGTATTTCTCAGCTAAAACCTATGAGTTAGATATATATTGCTATTATTATATGGAAGGAAATGTTACAAAATAAATTTGAGTTATGTTATCAGATTGCCTGGGCATGCAACCTGACTTTTTTACTTAAACAATGTACATAAACTCATCCAAATTATTTAAAGTCTCGGTATCTCAGTTTTTTCATCTATCAAAAAGAATGTTTCTACAGTGAAACCTTTGAGAGCCAAAATTCATGGGATTTTTTTTTTTTTTTTGCTTAGTTTTTCCAGGTCTCTCAAGTGTTCCACAGTATAGTCTTACTACTTTTCTATGGCTTGTTTCAGTGGAAAATATTTTAGTTTTCTCTAACATGTCTCTATCAGATTTTGGCTTCCCTAAGTTTTACTGTATTATTAACTACATATATTTGGTACAAAAGTTAAATGAACTGAATAACAAACATAAGATATTTAGAACATATTAAGAGCTTAAGTCATGTTGTTGTTATTGATAAGTGTCATAGAGTTGATTCCAACACATAGTGCTCCAGTACAAGGTTTCTGTGTAGCAGCTGGTGGGTTTGAACTGCCAACCTTCCAGTTAGCAGTACAGTGCTTTTCCTACAGCTACACACCAAGACATGTTAGCTATTATTAAACTTGTTTTACAGGTGAACAACCTTATTCCAATGTCAAAGAGTGAGTAGCAGGCTAAAAGTTTTAAAACTTAAATTTTACTCAATAACCTTGTTATCCTGACCCATCCCAACCCCCTAACCCACCATTTTCCCCTGACAGAATTTGTTGCTAAAATTGACTTGTAAATCATTAGACAAAGTTCAGAAGAGTTAGGAAAGAAGCAGGAATGGAAAAATACAGGGAGGAAGGACGTGGGATAAGTGTGTCCTTAAGTTCAAATAATAATAATAATTAAAATAATAATAATAATAGCAGCATGGTAACATAATGGTTACAAATCGGGCTGCTAACCTCAAGGTAGGCAGTTCAAACCTACCAGCTGTTCTGCGGGAAAAAGATGAGGCTATCTGCTCCGATAAAGATTTACAACCTCAAAAACCCTGTACAGGGTCACTATGAGTAGGAACTGACTCCCCGGTACTTTACAACATTTATTTAGCACAACAACAACATGAATTAAGAACTGTGATAAATCTCTTATATAGATTTCATCTAGCCTCTAAATTCTTTTAAAAAGTAGAAAAAAGAAAGGACAAAAAATGGATCACAGGGCAACAATGATGCGTTGAATTCTCTAGGCTGTGGCATATTGTTTTTCACTTTTTCTATGGTTGTTTGATCATATAAGAGCTGTTTTATTTTAGCTAATTTTGATCATGCAAGAAGATAGAGAAAACACACCTCTTTTACATGTTTAAGATCACATGTAAAATAAAGTATATTTTACTGACATAAAGGACTCCTGGTGTGGTGATGTAGGATCAGCACTGGACTGTGAACTACAAGGTCAGAAGTTCAAACCTACCAGCTGGTCCTTGGAAACCCTTTATAAGGTCGCTATGAGTTGGAACCGACTCTACAGCACTTAACAACAACAATATCAATAAGGGCAATCTTAACTTATACACCCTCTTTTCAATGATGAGTATTGACTGCTTTGCTCAATATTAATCATAAATATATTTTCTGATGAAGTTCTGGTGTGGTGTTGTCGTCTAATGCATCAGATTGCAAAGTCATTTCAACTGCAAAGTCGGTGGTTCAAGCTCACCAGCTGCTCCTTGGAAACCCTGTACAGGGTTGCTATGGGTTGGAATGGACTCAACGGCACTTAATGACAGCAGCGTAATTTATGACAAAATGACATAGGCACTGTTATTTCCTTCTTTCAAAGAGAAGTAAGCCAAGATCAAGCGCATTTCGGTGGTTAAGCAACTGTCAATATACATACATACAGACAGTAAGCTCCTGATCTAGGAAACAAATTCAAGCAATGAGGGTCCAAGTTCTATTCTTAACAACGCTCCGTTATCCAACTATAACTAGATAAAATTAGTGTCTCAGTGCTAGAGTTCATAATACTCAAAAGCTGGATACATTACAATATAACATCCCATAATCAAACCCACCCTCTACCAGCATAACACTGAATCGTCTATTTATGTGGAATGGATTGGGTGATAATGCACCAGACTTGGCAGTGTTTCATGCTTAGGGTCTCTAAGAGTCGTAACTGACATTATGGCAGCTCTGGTAGCGGTAGTGATTACGAATCGGGCTGTGAACCTCAGGGTCAGCAGTTCGAAACTACCAGCTGCTCTGCAGGAAAAAGATGAGGCTTTCTGCTCCTGTAAAATTTACAGCCTCGGAAACCCTGTACAGGGTTGCTATGGGTCGGAACCAACTCGACAGCATTTAACAATAACAACAACAAAAAAGATGTTTCATTTTTAAGTTCTTTGTTTTTGTAGAAAATATATTAATTACTGTCTTTTAGCTTCATGATCCACATTCCCACAGGCAACCATGTGTTAGGTTCTTACTTATTTTTGCAATTCAATATGATAAAATATATACATACATCCCCCCCTTCTTTATCCTTGTGTGCTTTGTATCAAGGCATAGCACTGACCTATATCATGCTTTATGTTATATAAAAAGTCATATAGTATGGTCATTAGTCTACTTCCATTCTGCCATGACCAATGAAGCACTTGCATATACATCAATTTACATCAGTATGAGGATCTCCTTTCTCTTACATATGGAATTTGGGGTGAAAGAGCACGTGCATTTGTAATTTTGATAGATAATGCCTAATTTTCTTCCAAAGAAGTTGTACCAATTTATAATCGTGACTAAATTATAAAAATGTTTCTCTTAAAGTTATTTTTCCATTGATATGGAGAAGAATGCTAATTTTCATGTTCATGCTTAAAAAAATTTACCCCTGGCACATTTTGGAGATGTTGGCAGGTTATTTAGTATCAAAGATAAGTGGTGTAAATGCAAATTTTTGAGAAAAAAAATGTCTTTTATAGCATTCACAATGATAACCCTTTGACAGTTGTCTGGTATAGTGAAAAATATAATCGAAAGTTTAATGTAGTTCTCAGAAGATAAATTCTGATGGTCACAGAAGATCATATCACAAAATACATTTCAGTCAGAAAAATCTTAACAACCTCTATGATTTTATCTTTATGGATTTATTGCCTTTTATAGATAATGTTCAATTTTCTTATTTAAAATTTGTTTTAAATTTCAAATGCCAATGCATTTGCCAAACAAGTTTTTAAAAAAATTTTTTGCCACTTTTTGAGAATCTGCTAAGTGATCTAATTTCCTTATATAGTTTATGTAATAAAAGTTGTACAAAAACGCTACAAGGCTACTGTATCAGTCCAAATTAGTAGTTGTTAAATGTTATTGACTGAGTTATTTCCAACTCATAGAGAGCCTGTATAGGATTCCAAGGAGTGGCTGGTGGATTGGAACCATTGATTAGTAGTCCAGTGCTTGCCCTTCAGCATCAACCAGAACTCCCAGTTCAAATTTAAAGACCAGTAAACTCTGGCATACCAACATCGTTGTTGTCTTTATTAAGTGTCTTGGTGTCAGTTCTTACCCTGTATAGGGCGACAAGGAGTGGCTGGTGGGTTTGAACCACTAACCTTGTGGTTCAAAGTGACCTTGCAGTCCAGTACATTATCCTACAGTGCCACACCAGGATCCCATTCACAAGCCCAAGATGAAGCAATTAATAAATAGTGGTAAGCGAAATGTAAAACAACCACAACACATAATTACTAGTCACAAAGTAACTGAACACATTGCTGTGAATTAATGAAATATATAATAGATATGTAATCCATGCTATTGTTACCTACTCCACATTTCTTACCTCAAAAACCAATGACAAGGAAGGAATGAAAGGCTTCATGTGACCAGATCCATGCAGTATCAGGAAAACTAAGCAACGGACAGTTTCCAAAATAGCCGCTTTAGGTCTGGAAATAAAATGTCATCAACATATATTAATATTAACTAGGAGTCCCTGGGTGGTGGGAGCAGTTAGAGACTAAGGGAAAGGTTATGGATTCCAGAATACCAAGAGGCAACTCAGGTGAAAGACCTTCTTAAATTTCAGCCATTGCAAATCCTATTTAAGTACAGTTCTGCTCTGACATGCATTTTATAATTAACGTATTGATAATTTTTCTTTTTACATTTAACAAATGTGTACCATTTGAATACATTTGAGAAACATGCACATTTGAAGCTGTTTAAAAACAGTTATCACACTAAGAAAGTAATTATTTCTCTTTAATGAAAGCTTGTTCTTTATTTAGTTTGAGCATGATAAATTAAGGTGAAAGTTTATTTTCAGTGGGTAAATAAAATATTGTTGTTAGGTGCCTAGAGTCAGTTCTGACTCCCTGGGACCCTGTATAGTGTTTCTAAGAAGCAGCAGGTGGGTTTGTTCTGTCGATTTGACTCCTGTAGTCAACTGACATGGAGTTGACTCTGACTCATAGCAACATTGTGTAGTGAGTGTTTCCAAGGAGAAACTGCTGTGTTTGAACCACCAACCTTGTGGTTAGCAGTCCAGTGTTTATCCTACTGTGCCACACCAGACAATTAAAATTTTGATGTTTGGATCTCTAGCCTTGTCTTTACATTTCATTCATTTAAAAAATGTCATGGTCAGTGTTCTACATCTTACTTGGTGAGTAATTGTTTGTTGTTGAGTCGGTTCTGAATCCTTGACTGATGGGTTCAAATAACTGATCTTGCTGTTAGCAGTCCAGTGATTATCTTACAGTACTTCACCAGTGCTATAGTTACTGTGTGAGGAATCACTGAGATCTTAAAAGCTCTCTATTGTGCAACTATTAATCTCTTCCTGTCCAAAGAAAAGAGTGATCAAAATTGATGAGACTTGGAAACAATTCATCCAAAGGGTTAATGGACCACGTGAACATCTGTGTCCATGACCCTGAGATGAGATGAACTAGATGGTGCCTCACTAGTACTATCAACTGGTCTGAAAGGGGTCACATTAGAAGTTCATGGATAGAATGGAAGAAAATCTGGAACAAAACAAAAAATCATAAGAAAGTCCAGGCTTATTGGTCAGATAAAGAGTGGTTATACCCTAAGACTATGGAATTGACCTCACCAGTGTCTCAGTTTTCAGCTAAGCAATAGTATTTGTTG